TCTTTGCATTAAACGTCTATTGAAGGTTAATCAAGTTTACAAGGCTTTGAATAATAAATACAGTTAAATATAACTGAACACAGTGTGAATGGAACAAACGATGTCTAAGATGAATAAGAGAGAGAGAGAGTGTGTGTGTATGTGTGTGTGTGTGTATGAGCTATCTAATATGATTGGTTACGCAATGTGAATCTCTTCAGAAAGGAAGACCGATGGAATATTTCTGCGGTGAAGACCGATCGGACTAGTTGGTAACTCACAATATAGTTTTTCACCTAAGCAGCCCGGCGAAGAACGATTGCCCGTGCCCTTGATGGGCCACAGGCTAATCGCCTGGAACGCGAGAATCAGACCGCAACCGAAGAAGCCAAGGGAAAGGCAGAAGAAGATGGACGAAAGCAGTGTCACGGAAGATCGAGGATTTTTCTGTGAATTTTACGCATCACGAAGCAGCAGCGGCGCGGTGCAATGAATAAAAGATACATACAAATATTATATGGTGTAGCTGGGCGCGGAATATGTATTCGTATATATATATATATATATATTTAAAAAATATATAAACGTATGTATATACATATATTTACTTTTATATGTATATCTATATTTTTTATTATTGTCTTCTATTTTGTTATATTGTTAATCTTCAAGTTCGGTTGTAATCGATTAAGAATAAAGACAATATTTTTTTTTATTTTAACGTAATTATCTCAACAATATTTATTTTTAACTATAACTAATAATAAACAAATCTACAATTTATTAAATTTTCAGAATAGAGTACTACAATTATTATAACAGTGCTAAATATTGTTTCTATGATTACAAATCGTATACAACGGTAACAATACAGCCTCCTTTGCATGCAATAAGTACGAATTTATGTAGGAACGGAAACAGGTAAATTATTCATTCGCATTATTATGATTTCTCTCGTCTATGTTGATAAGATTGCACACGGGATCCATTAACCCGTAGTTAAAACCTACAATGATACGTTAACTTACGATTAGCGATTAGTATTACAGAGTTACCGTTCATTACGCTCCAGATGGATAATGAGGCAGGCGTGGCAGCAGCGAGAAAAGTTACGTTAATTCGATGTTTCTAGTCAAAGCTGATCGGCCCGATCACGCGAGCTTTTCTTGCGGCAACGACGGCGTGCCTCGTAAAATTCGGATCGCCGGAAAAATCCCGGTCTTCTCTTCCGCGATCGCTTCATTAGGATTTAAATCGACCCGAGTGGATCTGTGGGCGTCGGTTACCGCTGTTTGAAATTGGAGCTCGTACAAGTAGTCCTTGAATATGCGTCACGACATTTATTGTGATGTAAGATCGTAAAGCGAGGACGACATTCCTGTCGAGTCACCCGTGAAAAAGCTTCCGCGTTGAGCACTTCTATCATCCCTGTCGATGGACGGAATCGAAAAATCGCAGACAGATACGGCTCGTAAAACTGAGATTAAGATATATCAACGGGATTTTCAATTAAACGAGATGATCGATACGTTTTTCAATATACAACACCGGAAACCACGCGACGCGTAACAAACGATTTTTATTTCTGCATTCTGTGAGAATTACTGAAGTTCTCAAAATATATTCTTTATTTTTAACTTTTAGAATAGTAATGGTGTGTATCTTACGTTTTATAAATAAAATGCAATGTAAATTGCTCTTTCTTTTCCTAATATTTATAGAGCGTTTAACACAAGATTAGTAGATTTAGAATAATTTATAGTTGTAGTAGATTTAGGCTGCGTTCCATTTAAAGCTTACAGCTTTTGTGAACATTGTCTGTCCTTATTTGATATTTAATAAACAACAAGGATAATTTTAAAGTTGTTCAAAGTTGTCTCCGACAACACTATGAGCGTAAAACGCAGCTTTGAGATAATTTATAATTTTTTACCGTTATTCTAAAATTAATATAATACCGACCGAATCGAATCGACACTTTCGGAAGACTTAAACAAAGTTGATTATAAAGAAGATCACATCGATCTCAGTTCACGATTAAGGAAACTGGAGCGTTTCCGCGATTATAATCCATGATGTATTGACGACAACGTTATAGAATTGAGACCGGGAGGAATACAAGCTCTAGAACTAGCTGTAAATTAACCACACACTACTATCTAGTATTTCTCCATATATATTTTTGCTTGTATATATACGTCATGTTATATGCATACGTAACTCATGTATCATGATGTATAGTTAGCATATCGATGACATGATCTCGATATGGAAGGTCTAATATTATATCTTATTCTGCAATCTTTTTGCAATCTTGCAAATTTTGCAATCTTTTTTTTAATCATAAACACTGATATTATGTATAATGGCACACATAATAAGTATCGTATCTTGTAGTTATAGTGTGACATTAATAGTTTTATACTTATTATGCTTAATATCATTAATTTGCAGCTATTAATGAGCTTTCTTGCTCAAATTAAATAGACCGAAACAAAGTTCAATAAAAAGTAAAAAAAAAAAAATAAATAAAATTAGAGATAAAGATTATGTAAACGGTATCGAGATAAATGAACTATCTGTACCGTAAGAACTAGAAAGCAAAATTCTGGTAAAACAAAGCCCTCCGGATATATACCTGCAGTTAATTGAAGGTACTACGGTTCTAAATGCAATTCCGTTGCATCCAGGCATTGTACCAGCACGCGTGTGCATGAGTAAACGCACGCACATCAGCAACTCTGTCGGAGTAGTTAGATCGCCCGTGATCGCTTCCTTTCTCGGTGCATGCAAACCAGTGCACGATCCTCCCGAGCACTGTGGTTAATGTCCCGTTTGATTGGTCGGCGCTATGATGGTACGCGGTGAACGATCCACCGGCGACGATCGATCGCAAGATTGAGAACAACCTCGTCTTCGAAACCCCATCCTTCTTCGCTAATCCCAAATGACGAACGTTTATGTTTGATCTTAGGTTTATGTCAGTTTCTCAGTATGTTTTTATCGATATTTGAGAAGAAATAGCACGATAGACTGTTCGCTCTGGTTAAATTACAAATTTTAAGTACTTTTGAACACTTATAATATTTTAGATGTTCTTTTTCTCAAATTTTTATTTTTATAATATATCAATACTGCATGCGTATTTTGTTTAAAATTATATATGAAAATTGCTTGTTATATTTTAAAACTTACAATTAAAAGTATGCAAAAATTTTCTAATTTAACCTTTAATCTTAATCTCTCTGTAAGTAATCTGTTAAGTAAGATTGAAGATGTGATGAAAATTTAAAATCAATGAATGAATAAATAAATAAATAAATAAATCGACAAATTTTATAAGATCAACATGAAAGGTGTCGATATCATTACTTGTTAATATCAATAAAGAACTGAAGCAAAGATGCATAAGAACCATAGAAGAAACTGGGGCAAAATGACGAGAGGCAAGCTAACCAATAATTAATAACTCTCAAGATTGCCGACGTAAGCGATAATACAAAGTGCACAGTAATTATGAAACATACCACTGAGAATATACAGCAATAAGTAAATAAGTAAGCTACTCTAAAACAAGTCTTGCATTAAAGATGTTATATTCTCGATAGCTATTATTTTATACGCGTATCAGAGATTCAATATAATTAAGCAAGGTAAAAAAGTATACGTTACATTTTTCCATCATTACTATTATAATTTACTTACACAGAACGAACAATTTTGTTAAAGTATTTAAAAATTTAGTCAGATACAAATCTGAAAACAATTTTGTTAAATTATTAAAATTATATAGAACGCTTAAGCATTGATGAAGAAAAAGTTTTAACATTCTAGCAACCAATTTAAGCGTCCTACATAATTATTTTGGTACAAACAAAATTATTTTCAGATATATTTAGCTAAATTTTTAAAGACTTCATCAAAACCGTCCTTTTTGTGTTCATGTATAATAAATTATGTTAAACAAATTTTATATTATATATATATATATATATATATAAATATTTTCTTATCGTACCAGATTCTTCTTAATATTAATTCTTTTCTTTATACTTTCTAATCTTTCTATTCTGTTAGAAGAATGTGTACATCTTGTACAAAACGAAAGATCTGGTGCAAGAAAGATAGATTATGCGCGCCAGGATGATAGTAGTTTCTACTACTTGCGACGTGGCAAAAATGCAACAGTAACACTGATTTAAGTTTATAACGGGAGAAGATGGTATCTGTGCCGCGTTCCTTCCGAAAGAAAATGATAAAATGAAGCAATTATTATTTAGGCCGATGTATAAAAGACGGTGTATAACTTCTCGGAAGATCGGGTAGTACCAAGTAGCAGAGGATAATAGATTAACCAGATACATGTTGGCGTTCCGCTTCAAACTAATCGATTAGGTATTTTTGAAGGAACACCTTTCGCGTACGAGATACGCTTTTTCGTATCAGCATAGCAAATCGCAACCAAGTCCGTGAAAAACGCGCGCAGTAGGTAATATTTCTGGTCTTCACGTAAATTAGTCGGTAATCAGTACTTGATATGATAGCGGAAAATAATCTACCTTGAAGATCAACCCACGATTTGGTATCGAAGTAAATTACATGGATTCATAAACGCATTATTTTAATTTACCGGCCCGGGGGTATAATTAATGACAGACTGCGACGACTGTAATTACGTAAAGTATTTTCCGTAAAAAATCTTGCATGCTGGATTATTATAATATCAGACCGGTGTTGAACGTTGCGAGAAAAGGGAATACAATGGAAAAGAATTCGTCAGAAAATTTACGTGGCAAATTGTTTGTTACAATAAATTTGCATAATGGTAAAAAAGTATGAGGGTTGTAATGAAAAATTTATATAAGCTAAATAAATCATTTTGTAAAATTTACATGAGTTAAATAAATCATTTTGTAGACGTTTGTTTTTTATTGTTAATATCTCGGTGTATCATACGCAATATCAAATGATTCAAATTATTTACAATTTATGTGAAACAAATAAAAGCATTCATCACTTACAGAGTGATCTTCCGATCCATCCTGGCGCCAGCCATTCTACCCGACGATCTCCTTCAACCCCTAGCTAACGTCCAGTTGAAAGCAGTTTCTGTGAGGATCACCTGAGGTCTCTATCACGAGTCACAGAATCATTTGTAGAAAGCGAAAGGTACGCGCAGAACGTATATACAGATATATATATATATATACGGTCGTGATTTTCGTTCACCACTCGTACGCAGGACAAGTCCTCCTCCACTTACGCGCGTTCGACACGCGGTATCCGTTTCCACTACGGAAGTCAATCGGACATCCCGCACGCGCGACGACTCCCCGAGGGCGACGCGGACGACAGTGGAGAACAGTGTGGCGATCGAGTCTCCACCGAGTACCAGTTCTCTCTTTCCCTTATCTCCGTTTCTTTCCACCAGTAGTTCCACCTAAACGAACGATCGCGGAGATTCGCGCGGTGCCGGGTGCGAGAGTGCGCCTAGAGCCGAAATAGAGCAACGTCTGCGCACTGTTCTCCGGCCGTAACACTCTGCCGAGATAACCGCCGCGCCGGTGGGCCGCAGTGTGCTCTTCTTCCACGGTCGCGGAAGGTGGGAAGATCAGAAGGAGAAGGACGTGGAGCGCGTAGAGTAGAAGGTGACCGCGGTGACGGTGATGACTACGGTGGAGGTGGTGGCGGTGATGTACTCGTGGTAGTGGAGAGGTAAGCGACGGGTAACGATGGTGATATGGTGGTGGCGGTGGCGGTGGCGGTGGTGGCGGCGGCGGCGGCGGCGGCGCCGGCGGTGGTGGAGGTAGGTATAGCTTCGTGAGAGGATGCTCACTGTATGGAGCACTGCACCGTAATGACATGGTCTAGGAGATGCCAGTCAGTTTTGTAATGACGACGGTAAAAAGTGAATTTCCACGAAGGTGGGGAAACGCGCCTAGGGCCAATCCGAGGGCATGCTACCCACCACCGGTGACCAATCGGAGCGCGACATTCCAGAATGCGACTATTCTTCTTCTTCTTCTTCTTCTTCTTCTTCTTCTTCTTCTTCAACTTCTTCGTCTTTGTCTCCTTCGTGCACTTCTTCTGATGAGAGAACTCTCCTACAGCATGACATCCGCCCCTTGTTCCTCCCCTGCTGCATCAAGAATGGCTCAAAGGTACATGTGGCTTTGGGCGAAAGTCTTTGTGATGCTTCACGGTAGTTGTGGAAATTGAATAATCTGCAACCATTATGTCATTACATTCCATAAGTGTGCATTAAAGGGAAGTTGTTGATGGCAAGTATAGTATAGGTAGTACAATATAATATAACAGCGCAGCGCATTGCGTGCACCTCGAAAGTGCTGCTTAAGTTCGGATAAGATATGTGAACGCGTTATCATTTCCTCTGGATTATATTAATTAAGATAAAATGATGTTTACTATTTTAATTACCAATGTAATTAGGTCTTTCACGACCTCCATATGCGCTTTAATTAGTTCTAATGATCTCTACATCAAACGGATTAATGAATTAACTTCTACTTGTTAGTTTTGTCATCATTTCACAAAGATATATGTTCCAATGATACTGTCAGAAATCTTACGGTTTCTGCGATACTTTAATTGAACAGAGCAGCCTATTTGAATTTCAGAAAAAACCTATTAACAAGGCTATGAGTGCTATAATCAGGTAACGTATTCAAATACTTGGCGCAGCTCCGGTTTTATTGTACATATGTCCATAACGGAGTATTTTCATTCTAAAATTGTTAATATTTTTTATAAACAATTTACTACGCGGGTACCCGGAAAACGTGCGAAGAGGAAGAAAATCGTAGTTAACACTGACCCAGAATTTGAGGTAATTGGCCAGCTGCGATATTCACTATCGCATCATCGTTTTGTGAAATTAATGCGAGCACAAATAATCACTTTCTCCGCGAAGCATACGGGAGGATAGGCGGCAACACATGTCGGAGACGCGTTATGAAAATCGAACGATACATATCGCGTTGAACAATAACCGCGTCCCGACATTCAATCCCAAGCGAAACGCTAGATTACGGTCTAGTATTATTTCATCCATCTCCGATGGTTTAAATTTAATCGTAATAGGCGGTACAGTTAAGGAGGTAGCTGTATCACCGGTAATATCATCGGTAATGTATGCGCCGACGTCTCACTCTGGTATGATAATTGTCGAGAGATATTGGAGTGGCGCTCGATATTGATATGAAAATGCCGAGATTCGCGGCGCCGCAACATATGTTGCACGCATCAATACGCAGAACGATAAGTCGTTCTTTATTGCCTAACAGTAACGTATTTCTTAAAACCCGGCAAGCGCCGCTCGCCGCACACTCTCTTCGATATTCTTATTGCTTCGTATATCAAGACAGGTATGTGTTTAGGTAGGATACGTTTTACAGCTGTCGATGAAACTGCGAATCGACAAATTTTACCGTTCGCTTCCAACGTTTTGTCGCACCTGCCAATTGATTGACAATTAAACGCTCGAGATAATTCAATTGTTGCTGAAACTTCTTCATAGAAACCATAAAACGCGAACGGTTACCGAAAAAAGTTATAGAAGAAATAAGTTATGAGCTGAAATTAACTACTTCTTTCTTATTATTACGTAAAAAAAAAACACAATGCGAAAATTGACCAAGATATAACTCGAACCATATTCGGTCAAGATGAGTCTTGATGTCTAATAATATTTTTGTGTGAATCATACAATTTCCACTTCGAGTAAATTGCGAGCCAATGATTTGTCAGTCTTGAAACACAGTTCCATACACTGAAACTGAAGTATGTGATATCACAAATTAAACTGATAAGCAATTTAATATTGCTAATGAGTATTTTTATAACACATCTCTTACTGATATTTTTCGCAATAAACTCTATACAGTGTTTAAAGATGCTAATTAGCATCAGTAATATTAAATTGCTTGTCAATTTAATTTATGATATTACGTATTTCAGCTTCAATGTAAGACTGTATTTCAAGACTGACAAATAATCGATGCACAGTTTAATTGAATTGAAAATTGTAAAATTTACAAAAAAAATATTATCAGGTATTTACTTTGACCAAATATAGCCTTCTTCGTTTGTACGTGTAAAAATGCACAGTGTAAGCACACTCTCTCTCTCTCTCTCTCTCTCTCTCTCTCGTCGAGATCATAATTTCTTAGTTACTACTCTCTCTTCCTCCCAGATTATCGTAAGCAGTTTCATTTCATTTTACTTACTTTGCTTAATCAGCGTAAATTATCCGAGTAATCAAGACTCGGTTTGCTTGGCGAACATAATTATTCCTTTCCTACCGGAAGAGCGACACCATAAGAAAACTCGAAGCCCAAATCACTCATTGGTAGCCTTTTCCGGCCAGTTACAATTACAAGCGTCGTTAATTTATTACGGATGGTAAACACGGACACATTGCGCGAATCCTTGCCGAGCGTATCGAAAAAGTTTATCATTTTTTCGCAACGTTTCAGTAGATTCGTATTAGTAGATAATAAAGTAGAAACTTAGGAGAGAACGAATGGTATCAAGAGAGAGAGAGAGGCAGGAAAAAGGGCGAAGAGCGAAATGACGAGAGAAAGGGGAAAAGCAGGAGAAAGAAAGAAATGAAGGCAGTATAGGAATTCTTGAGAGCATCTTCTTTCTATAGCAGTAAAAAGGGCTATTGTTACAGCAGGAACTACTGTCGCTTCGCGAAGATTCCGCTTCGCACTCGGCTAACGGCATCCCGCGCATCGTCCGCAGGGAAATTGCCAAAGTGGCAGTACCGCCAGGCATTCCGCAATAGGTCGTTTCCGCGGCCACAGCGTGCAAGAAAGGATGCTTTCCTCTTTCTCTCTCTCTCTCTCTGAGGCGGATCCTATCTTATCTCTTAATATTTAAAAGAACCTTTAATAACTAGATTAGCGTAAATTCGACATCTATATCGATACTCGTTTATACCTTATTTTATCATTAGAATTCAAACCTTATTGGTATTTTTTGAGAAATCTAAGAACACCGTATTGTATGAGTGAAAGATAAATTCTAGAGAAGAACAATGTAAAAAGTATACATAAATTTTTTCACAAGTAAAATTGCTGAGTAATGCAATCGTTTGCTTTCATGCGGGAATTTTATATAATCTCTATGTTTCTACCTGTGTGTAGTGCTAGAAACAAATGTTCAGCGTAACGGGAAATATCCATTGAAATTTACGGAATCGACGGGCAATGCACAGGGACGAGCTTCTTGCACGGGGTAGTTTCGCAAAGCGAAGAAAGTCACCTTGTTGACTGTACAAACGAAAAACGAAAAAAGGCGTAATGAACGATTCCAGTTGTCTTATAATCTCGATGTGCCGTAGGTAGGCAAGGTGTAGAGTAACAAAATTTATTTATCAAACTCAGAAGTTGAAACCCCACGAAGAACTTTGACCTTATATATTATTACTCGATCGCCGAGCGCACGAACTCATCATATATTTTCCCATATGTAAAGTTATATGATGTGTTATTCGCAAAATGGCGTTTACGAAGGTACACATTACACGAAGCGATGATGAGTAGTCGAAAAACAATAAGACCGTGCAACGTAGATGCGCAAGGAATATTGAATATTGCGGAGGCGCCGCCGCCGTTTCGAGACTCGAGAGAGGCTCCCGCGTGTTTGCGCGTTCGCATAACGGGAAACGTATATCCAGCGATATTGACGAAATTGACGGCAGGGAGAAACTTGCGTGGCGGTGTTTTGCGCGATCCCGAGGAAGATGCTGCGCGGCAAGTACGAAAGAAGAAGAAGAAGCCGTCAAGGTTCCGGGTTCGATTCCCAGGGCTGCCATGGAGAAACGGCGCTTCACTCCCTCGCCGTGCGATCTAGATCGAGGGACTTGAAATACCTACTGGAGAACACGAGCTGGTGGCGATAAATTATTGCAGTACGGATGATTTCGCGAGGGCAGGGGTCAAAGCCGGCCGAATACGGGCTTAGCGCGAGGAAAGAAGAAGACGTAAGCGCCTTGCGTTACTTCCCTGACTAAAACCATATTAAGCGGCGCACGATCAAGATCGCGTTTCGAGTCTAGCATAATGCACCGAGAGAGAAAGAGAGAAAGGAAGAGAGCATT